AAAAAAAAATTACAAGCGCGCGCCTGCATCGGAGTTGACTGTCCTTCTGAGGGACAAAACGGAATCACGGCTCACGCTATCAAAAAATATTCACGCCTCACGGCTAATTTTTTCGCATTTTCACGACTAACGGCTAATTTTTCAGCCGTTTCACGGCTCACGGTTAACCCCATTGAGACCCTCGTTAGTGTCATAAAATCGTAAGAAAAAAAAWTTATAATTATTTATTCTTTTTTATTAGTGAATTAAATATTGTAAAGCAATATTGTACACATCTTCTTCTTTTTTAACATACTTTATTATATGACCTTGCGTATTGGAGACGCTAGTGAATATGATTGATTGATGTCGATTTTTTTTCAGAGCTAGATTCTCTTGAGTAGAATGTGCACGCTACATAACTTGCGATTTTTTTGGATTTTTGCGAATGTWATCCAGACGAAATTTCAATTGATAGAGAAAACGAAGAACAAAAACTGCCTTAAAATTTTATGTTCAGTATAATCTTAATTTCTATCCGATGAAAACGGTCATACAATAAACCCTAACCCTAACCCTTAACCGAGCTTGCTTGGTCCAGATAGAAAAATCTTGATTTGTCAGTCATACAGATTTTTCTATCTGGACCGCGCGGTCGGCTAAATAAGACCTAAGTAATTCGAGCTGTATGAACTAACATCGCTATAGAAAACAAAGTTCTTATTATTGCTATCATTATTTACAATGTTTAATTTGTGAATATTACACCCATCGCAATTTTATTGGATAAAATTTAGCCTATGTACATCCGTTTCTCACCCCGTAGCGGGGAGTTAGAGGGGAGATAAAATACTTTTTCCAGTCCTAATTTTGGAAAAATGACGATATTTTGCAGTGATTATTTTAGTCGTAAAAATTTGTTTTTTTTTATAAAAATCGCATTACAAGTCTTGACGTGAGCGTCAGTAAGTCGTAAGGGCATTTACGCAGGACTTGTAGTTCATTTTAGTTGTATGCAAGCCGTACACGACAATAACGCATCGTGTAAATCTGCCTCAAGCTAATAATGTTCGTTAAGTAGTAATCAGTTGATAGCGGATTTGTAACCCCAATCTCATACCCAGTCCCCGCACTTTTGCCATCCAGAGGAAGTCAATGCGCGAGACACTCTGTGTGAATGCGTTATTTCTCGGCGGAAAAGCATCGCAAATCCATTCAATTCTTTCCGGCGTCAGCATACCGCTGACAATAGCCGTGAAGACTCTGGGTCAGAGGAGATATCAGTAGTATCCCTTTATGCTTTGCGCGCGTGGTTTGTTTTTACTAACCTCTAAATCTGACGAAATAAAAACACGGACTAAAGTAGGACTTCTTATTTTATCAAACAGTTTTTCAACCTTTTGACCGTCCACAGCGACAGGAATCAAAGCAACTTGCCTCTTCGATAATTTCCTTATCGATTTTATCTACAAAACAGTCCACTTGTCGACAAATAAGGTCTAAAAAAACAATTCCTTTTATCAATACTTGAAAATTGTTCTTGCTTATACAATGAATGTACAAAAAAGAAGAGTCTTTGAGAGTTTCATCTCTATAATCGAAATTCTAGAGATGAAATTGACGAACGGGTCAAAGTTTCCCGCCATTGATCTTCACTCGGCCAAGACCAAAAACAAGTGATGACGTCATATAAAAACCGATAATATAGTCTGAAACGCAATGCAATGTGGGGTACTACTGTTCCCTCCTCTGACTCTGGGCTAGAGAGAGATTGCTGTAACCCATAAACCCTGCATGGAATCCTACAATATTGCATATTTTTTACTTCATTAACTATCTTTAGTCCAGAGATTTSATCCGAGGATAATTATCATGAAATTAAACTTTTGAAGGTAAACAGATATCTACCAGAAAAACAAAATGCTGAATGATGATTTGCTAAATCATTAATACTTTGTCACCCAATTAAACCGTCAACAGCTTGAAAGCAAAAACTGAGAGATTGCATTGCAAAAGTTATGCTGAATAAGTTGAATGAAAAGGAGATCCTCATGTTTATGGTTCGTTTGAGAAATYTTCCATCGCAGCAACCATTGCTTTTATTCCAGAGAAGATCTCGATGACTGTCGGGAGAATTTGACTTGTTGGTAGCACAAATCCGAATTTTCCTTTATCTCTGAGTTCCAGGACATATGAATACTTGACACCAAGCTCACCGTACGCGAAATCCTTTGTAGTACCAGATGTCCTGTCTGAATTATTGACAAACAGAGAGTTAAATACTCCAGTTTCGAATTCATAGCGCAAAACCGCTGCTTTATTTGACAACAGATTCTCTTGCGCAAAGACTTAACAARCACAAAAGAGAGCACGAGAAAATGTCGTTATTACAATAGACTTCAAAATTTGCATTTTCCCCGAGTTGAGAMTAACCCTGTWTTCCTATGAGATCTAAGGTATGAGCCTTCTGGGAATACAGGGTTAGCCACAACTCCGTGAAAATGTAAATTGTAAGCGCTATTGTACTTAAAACATTTTCTCGTGCTTTCTTTTGTGTTTGGTAAGTTCTTTGCGTAAGAGAATCTGCTGTCAAATAAAACAGCGGTTATTCGCTTTGAATTCGAAACTGGAGTATTGAGGATTTACTACTTTCACGGTCAGTTTTTCCTTCGTATTTATGGCTTTCGACGATGATAACTGGGAGACTATTGTAACGACAACGATACGAAAAAAATCCCCCCCCCCCCMAAAAAAAAACAGACAAGAAACCCATCACCCAGGAATCCAATAATATTAGGCGTGAATCCTGGATGAAGGCTTTCCTGTCCTTTATCTTATAAAGTGTTCATATGACAATGCCATTAGCCTAAGATAATTAAAACACCACTTACATAATAGCTTTGAAGAACTGCCTACTGTATAAGTTGCGCCTATTTCTTCCTTGATTGCTTCAGCACCAATCTTTCCTACTTTAAGCTAAAAACAATATAAGAATAGACACAAATTGAAGACACTCGCGCACTGAGATGGATATCATTGCTAGTACCAGGATATTTGCTCATGCGCTGTACGGGTAAGGGTTTTGAGGGTCGTGAGGCACACCCTCACCCAAGTTAGGAAGGGAGTACCCCCCCCTCCCCACCCCCATAGGTATAAGTTGAAGCTTGCGATGCAATCATTTTTGTGCTTGAATGAAATGAGTTAAAATACTCGATTACTCGACAACGTACATAGAAATGTTCAGCAACTCTCTACAACACATGTATATGGTTTTTACCAATTCCTCATAGTCTTGAGGTGGGTCTGTGGTGTATCCCCATGGTAACATCCACATTTGACTGTAGGAATGTATGTCCATGTAAGCTTTAAGCTTGTCTTTAAGAGATCTCAGGTGATCGGCAACATTCTTCACTTCTTTCTCTGATTCAGGTCCAATCCCCCGGTAAATGTCACTACACGGGTTTTTACTTTCTACTCCTTCAACTTAGAATATATATCGCAATATTGCATATATTTAGCAAAAAAACATATTAATACAAATTAATACAGAATGACCGGATTTCTCGTTGTTAATTCCCATTTTTGTTAAGTGCCATCTAATGTTCAAGCRCGTTTGTAACATATGCAAACAGTTTGTTGTCTCTGTAGAGAGCAAACGTATGACTTTTTAGCGGACAAGTGCGCCAAGGTACATAAATTCCCTGTCATGATTTTTCAGAAAATACCATCACTACGTGTTAGCCTCATTCATAGTTCATTTTGGTAGCATTCGTTTTTAGCAATCAAACACAAACCCGGTATATATATATATACGTAAATACATTTGCATTTAGCAAATTTTAGTGTAGGGCTACCCCAGAGGTTTTCTCTTCTTTTATAGATGCTTTTTTTTCTCTAGTATTTATCGTGTTTTGTCTTTGATTTTCAAATTTAACGATGTAAGAAGAGAACCTCTGGTCGGGACCGTTGAGAATCTCACTTTCATGCCACCCGCCTCGGATGATAGCTGTCAAATATGTCATTTTTTGTTAGCCAATCGGAAGAAAGGATAAATTATGCATGCACCCCAGATGGATATTTTCTATTTTTTAAAATTGGAATGCCTCCTGTTTTTCACTTCAAAACTGCTTGTCACAAGTGAACACATTTTTTTCTTTTCAAATGAGAGAGAGAATTACTCACCATCTTTTCCCCATCCATATCTAAAGTTTCGATTCAAATCAACTCCGACACATGCAGAGCCGTCATTTGCGGGATTGCGATTCTTCCTCCAGAAACGATTCCCATCGCCCTGAGAACATACAATGATTAAAYAATTCTTTTGACTACATCAAATAGACCAGGACTCATTCATAATATGCCTGATCTTAGTCAAATGAGGACAATRCATTTACATAATGGCCCTTTCCGATAATAGACTGGGATGCGATGTACGAAGGTCAGATACAACAATCCAATAGTGGATAACTTAATCCATTCTTTTACTATGTACACATGTATCCTGTCTTACAAATCAATCTAGTGCTATATCTGTATATCTATTCTTAAGGTTAGTTTCACTGCTGTTTAATTCACCGTCTCAAGGTTTTCAAACATAAGAGATGCCTAGTTTCAGGTATTTATAAATAAATACATGTGAACAGTCGAGTTTGGTAATTGATGAAAAAAAATAAATAATWTTAATTAACCAAAAAATGGAAAACAATGGCATTCTCAAAAAAGCTACGATGTTTTTGAGACTTTAATGAATTTTTTATGATTATCAATCTTTCATAATCAACAGTGGTATTTATCCGATCCAAGAGCTAAGACCTGATCGACCAATAGACATCAATAAAGCATTGTATATTTACCTTCCAAGTGTAGGTGTAGCCATCTGGGTTTAATACTGGTAGTATAGTAAAGTCCATTTTGTCCAAAGTTCTTGTAACTGTTGGATCTTTGCCGTACTTTGTAACAAGCTGAAAGAAAAAATATTGACACAATAAGAAGAAGAAAAAATAGAGAAGAAAAAATGAGTAGAAAATAAGAATAAGCAAGAGATCCACCATAAKACAAGCGAAAGCATTATGCAAGTTTTTTCTTTGATGTATTTGACGTATTTTTGCTTCCAAAATTTCTTGCATTCAAAGGGTTTTTGTGTTTCTTGTTCAATCTTCACCTCTATCATGGTATAGGTCTTCAAAGTAGTTGAGATTGAGATATCTTATTGAAATCAGTGTGCTAGCTTAGACAGCAATCTACAAGTGAGGAGGTTAATATGAGAATGTCTCGATTTAGGGCGTAACGGACACTTAAAGTAAAAACAACAATGAGAATTATTCCAAACCTCYTTGAAGTCTCAGTGAAACAAATTTCGCAAAGAGATAGAAAAATTACCTGTTCAATAATGTAGACGCATGTCGCAGGGCTCACCCATTCGCGAGCATGGATCCCACAGTTAATGAAAAACATGGGCCGACTGCCTTCCATCTGATCGAGAAATCAAATAACCATATCACAAGTGAACATTGCGCTATCCCTGTGTTTCAAAGATTTTCAGCTTTCCCTTCTTTGCAATAAACTTGAGCATTTTAAAAAGACGATAAATGAACTCAATTCACAGATATAACAGTCAAATAAGTAGATAATGAGCATAAATTACTTAACAAATAAATAAGGCTCAGCCGTGGTTTATACTCTCATAAACCACACTTTTTTGGCCAAACAGAGCGCGCCTTAGAAATCATCTATATAATAAATCTTTTTATCATATAATTATCTATGAAATACCTATATTTCTCCATTTCCTAAATTTGATATTTTCACTAGTGAAAATAACASATTCGAGGCTCCTCTTTATAGTGGAAGAACTAAATGTATTCTACGACATAATTTGCTTCCATATGTAATTATATGATAAACAGAATATTACATGGTCACTTGGAGATACGAATTTTATCTTCTCGTATTGAAAATATCGCTACGCTCACTCGTGAGAGATCTTTTCAACACTCGAAGATAAAATCCGTATCTCCGCGCGCCCATGTAATATCCTCTATTTATTCCATAACTAGTAATCCAAGAGCCTCGTGCCACTGGCTCTTGAGTATGGATGATTAACCCTAACTTGTCATACTTTCTGATTACTGATTTTGACGGCCAGTTGCTCTCTGCCCTCATATGATTTACCAATTTCCACCTCAGTTGCCATGTTTGAGAGTGCAGCTATCCTACGTGTCTTGTTGATGATCTGCGAAGTATGAGATAAATGTGGGTTTCAAGTGGGTTTCGAAGTGGAGCTATTTGGACCATTCATGAATGTAACATGTATAAATAGATTATTGTTGGTGACATTTGGATGCATTTTCTTCATCACTGACAAACTTGATGTTGCAAACATTTCGTGACCTATAGGTCGTCAATGCGCCGACTTTTTTGGTAGATTGGCCCAATGGTTTGGTTTAAAAAAATCAATGCATTTTAAATAAAAAACTGCTTGTATTATGGAGGACAAGGATTTCAATAAACTACATACTCCCTACAAAAAAAGTTTGTACCTCGTTAAAAGGATGATATTTCACAAACCAGGACTCCTCTCTTGCGTCAGCGTAATGAGGATGGTCGTCTTGCTGGTCAAGCAACTTTTGAACGTCTGGCGAAATAACTTCATATTTCATCTTTTTGTTSTTCAAAAACTTGGTGAAGTTTGCGCAGTCAAGGGATTTCACGTGAATGTCGACTGGCATACCAGCATTGCCAGGAAACGTCCAGAAATCATACTGAAAACATTTGAAACAGAAACAGCAAGTTAAAATGACCTTCTGACTAAGTCTCTTGGATTTCTCGCTCCTTTTTTCTTTAAGTCATGCACTTATATCAGACTTTTTAATCACTCCTGTGCAGGCATTAACCATTGTGAAAATTCACTCTTTTGGGCAGAGTGTAGTTTAATAAAAAATAGATCATCACGACGTGCGCCTGTTTCCCTGSTAACACCGTTCTTTTTCWTATATATTTAGTAAGAACACCCGACCAAACAAAACTTGCCTTAAGACATTGACAAAATGAAGGCCTGACTTAATATAATTCACTTGACTCTGAAATTGTTTTCGTTATTCTTTTCATTTTGGTTAATCTATTGAGAAATCATTGATTTATTGTTAAGATGTCTTCAGCAAAAATCCTTACCCTTAACGGATCCTGTTCTTGAAGACGTAGAAGAAGTTTAACCTGAAGGTCGGTTGCCGGCACAATCCTTAGTACTTGATCTCTGGTTAAACATTAAAACACTAAATATTATTATGAGATGATATATCTTGCCTCAAAACCGATGACTATTGCCTTGGCGAATAGACTTCTGAATCTTTTGAACCCTATAACCCTTCGCGGCACTACTTGATTTGCTAGCTATTATACTGAGTCTATGTAGAGGATATTACATGGCGCCTGGTGATACGGATTCAGTATCGGCGAGTGTTGAAAAGATCTCTCACGAGTGAACGTAGCGAAAAAAAAGTAGGTGAAATATATTACTGACCGTTCGGACGTTAATCCTTTATATAACTGTTTCTTTAGAAACACCGACGCAGCTTTTGCTAGTAAGTTTACCGCTAGTTCCTACTATGTAATATTCTGTTTATCAAATAATTACATATGAAAGCAAATTATGTCGTAAAATACCTTTTCATTAGTTAAAATATCATCAACTTTACGAAATGGATAAATAGAGGATATTACATGGACGCGCGGAGATACGGATTTTATCTTCGAGTGTTGAAAAGATCTTCAACACGATTTTCAACACGAGAAGATAAAATTCGTATCTCCAAGCGAACATGTAATATTCTATTTATCATATAATTGTATACGAAAGCAAATTATGTCGTAAAATAGCTTTTTTCTTATTTTCACTATATAGAGAAACCTCGAATGTGTTATTTTCACTAGTGAAGATATCAAGTTTATGAAATGGAGAAATATAGGTATTTCATAGATAATTATATGATAAATACAGTTATTTCATAGACAATTATATGATAAAATTGAAAATTAGAGAAATAGATGTGTTATCGGATATTAAGGTATGACGATTTTTTTATCTTGGCTCCAGAGAGAACATTTAAATCTGTTCTGTGTATTTGTTAAAACGGAATCGAGAAAGATGCTTAAACACATGCAATGGGCTTCCTTAATGTGGACATGAACTTACCCGGAATACTTTCCAGCATAACCAATAGCAAYCAATCCAATTAATGTAATCCATAATACCTGCTGCCTCATCTTATACCAGGCGACATAAAACATACAAAGTATTAGTAAATAACACTAAAAGGCAGCAAAGAACATTCAGACCTTTCAGTTGTCACTTAAAGATTGAAATAATTGTTTGCTCAAAGCAAKAAGTGAATCTGTTTGTAATCGCTCTACAAGTATAGAGAATGGATTCTAAGTGACTTTCGACCAATCATATGGCGCGTACCATATATAAATCCTTAATAAGACTAGCTCAGAGGGACATATTAGTTTAGGTTGCTATTCCATGGAAAAGTCGACTATGATATTATTTTGCGATTTTTWAAAAAAWTTCTTTGAAAAKAATACTGCAMAAGCCACTTYTCAATAAAAAGCAGGCCTTAAAACGCGTCTCTTAGTCCGAAAACTAGATTGAAAATAGAAATTGCGACACAGGGAACCCACAATCATTATTTATGAATCAAGTCGACATAAAGCGTGTAAGGTATAGCTTAACCGACCAGTAAAATATAGTAGATCTTTATGCTGTTAACATAGGAAGCCCAATCTCTARGTTCTAGGGAATTTATAAGACTTTGATTGGGGAATAAATCTTTGCACTATAACATCGTGAAAGAAAAATAAATCCTAACCTATTCGAGRAATGTTTATAATTTTCTTGTTTTCTTGTGGCGATTTCAGGCTGTAGTGATGGTTTTTAAGAGAGTCCTCCATCCATTTCTATTATATGCTTGAATTACCTGCTATAGTTTTGTAACCAAATAATGTCTCCAAAAATGTGCGACAGTTCGAAATATTCTAAATCAGTGTTTTTCTTTTAGCTAGTATATAGAACATTACGATGGACCTCGTAGCTAATATTAATCTTTCATAGCATTTTCCATTTGACGAGTTTTTAAGTGTTCCTCAGTGCACTTAAAGACTAATTAAAGCTCTCAAGCACGTAATTTACTGCCTTTAAACATCTCTAGTACTGCTTTTAAACATCTTCAATAGCCCTTATCATCGTTTTGGCAGCTATTTTGTCGAGTAGACAAAGTCTCACAAATTAATAAGTAT